CCCTGGGGAGGGCCAGCGAAGGCCCAGAGGAGGGGTTGGATGTCAAGGACACAGCACTGGCTGCGGGGGAACCTGGCTTCTCTTACTGACCCGCCATGCAGTTCTGGGCGAGCGAGTCACCCCTCTAGGGCTCGTTCTGTCCCCCAAGAAACGAGGAGGCCAGGCTGCTCTGCAGGGGCCAGACTGCCATCTCCCAACACTGCCAGGTTCAAAGTCACCAAGTAGTAGATACCGAGGAGCCCCCGCGCTGCCCCTTTGCCAGGCCAAACGCCCGAAACCACGGGAAGGGTTTGGAGCCACTCACTTAATCACAAAAAGAAACTGTTATTAATGATAGTGAGACACGGCGGATAAGTGGGTCACGTCTAATAGCCGTTTGTGTTCAGGAGGAGAATACCAATTTAATAAAAGCTATGTGTGCTGAAAAAGCCCAGAAATTGCTGTTTAGCAGATTGGAGCCTGATCATTTCATTATTCCTGGGCTCCGCGTGTCCTCAGCTGATTCAGGAAACGTGGCTGGGTTAGGCAGGTGTCTCTGCGTCTCTGTTAGGGGTAGGAGGCTGGCAGTGGGGGTCCCGGGGAGGAGTCCGTTGACCCCAGCCGCCTGGTGGCTGCTCACCTCTCCAGCTCGGTCCCAGCCCAGCCGCCAGGCTAACGCCTTCCGCCTGCTCGCCCTGGGGCTTGTCACAGGGAAAGCCCGGGGTCAGATGGGTCCGCAAGGACATCTATCTCGCTTCCCCTCTCCCTGCTACCTCCACTCAGTCCGCTTCGCAGAGGGCTTTTTAAAGGCATGAGGAGTGAATGGGGAGTGAGTGGTACCTGCCTCTTAGGGAGACCTCAGGGAAGTGGGAGGCGGGGGTGGTGATGGTCAGTGTCTATGCCCAGTAGGTATTCAATTAATGGCAGCTATTTTGATTTTTTCCTCATCAGACAGGGTTAGCTCATTGCCATGAGCACAGTGGGTGGGAGGAAAGGGAGCTGACATTTATGAACTGCCTACTGTGTGCCGGGTGCTACCAAACCCCTTGCCAGTGTTAACTCACTAAGGCTGACATAATTCATGCAAGGCTGGTGCTGGACATTTGAGGAAACAGGTTAGAGAGGGCCAGTGACTTGCCCAAGGTCACTGAGTCTGTACAGAGAGCTGGGGAGCTGTGCCTACACTGAAGGTGTGTCTGGCAGTTCTGCTCTGGGCCTGCCTCCTCTGGGACAGCCTTGAGGCAGGCTTGGCCAGTCGTGTGATGGGTCTCCTTCCTCTGCCCAGCTCTGCCCAAGGGACTCCCTACCACTTCCCCAGAGAACTGGTAAGGCAGTGGGTTCCACCAGGAGGAGCCAGTAGCTCAGAAAGGTGATGGGATCTTGCTGAGGCCACATGCAAGTTAGAAGCAGGAAGCTGGATTAGCCTCCTTCTCCAGGACTCTTTCTAGATCTTGTCCACGGCAGGCGGGATCTTGTCTTCTTTTTTTTCTGGCCGCATTGCACGGCATGTGGGGTCTTACTTTCCCCAGACCAGGGACCAAACCCATGCTCCCCTGTGGTGGAAGCTCCGAGTCTTAACCACTGGACTGCCAGGGAAGTCTCTGGAAGGCAGGATCTTTATGAAGATCTCTGTGGACCTCTTGCATTGCAGTCACCCAGGGAGTTTGTTAAAATGCAGATGCTGGGGTCCTCTCCAGACCCATTGGCCAAAATGATTGTTGATGGGACCCTGGAATTTGCATTTTAATAAGCTCCCGAGATGATTACCAAGCAGCCTGGAGTCTGGGAGCCACTGCCTTAAGTATTCACTCAAACCTGATGAGACGTGTAGGGATGGGAAATTGTCTGGTGCCAGGGGCTGCTGGATTGGTCTGGTTTTGCAAGGGAGGAAAAGTCCAGGCTGGAACACACACACACACGCGCGCACACACACGCACACACCAGGCTGGAACACACACACACAAACACACACACACACCAGGCTGGAACACACACACACACACACACACACACACCAGGCTGGAACACACACACACACACCAAGCTGGAACACACACGCGCGCACGCGCACACACACACACCAGGCTGGAACACACACACGCACACGCACACACACCAGGCTGGAACACACACATGCGCACACCAGGCTGGAACACACACACACACACCAGGCTGGAACACACACACACACGCACACACACACGCGCGCACACACACACCAGGCTGGAACACACACACGCACCAGGCTGGAACACACACGCGCGCGCACACACACACACACACCAGGCTGGAACACACACGTGCACACACACACACACACCAGGCTGGAACACACACACACCAGGCTGGAACACACACACGCGCGCACACCAGGCTGGAACACACACATGCGCACACCAGGCTGGAACACACACATGCGCACACCAGGCTGGAACACACACATGCGCACACCAGGCTGGAACACACACATGCGCACACCAGGCTGGAACACACACATGCGCACACCAGGCTGGAACACACACATGCGCACACCAGGCTGGAACACACACATGCGCACACCAGGCTGGAACACACACATGCGCACACCAGGCTGGAACACACACATGCGCACACCAGGCTGGAACACACACATGCGCACACCAGGCTGGAACACACACATGCGCACACCAGGCTGGAACACACACATGCGCACACCAGGCTGGAACACACACATGCGCACACCAGGCTGGAACACACACATGCGCACACCAGGCTGGAACACACACATGCGCACACCAGGCTGGAACACACACATGCGCACACCAGGCTGGAACACACACATGCGCACACCAGGCTGGAACACACACATGCGCACACCAGGCTGGAACACACACATGCGCACACCAGGCTGGAACACACACATGCGCACACCAGGCTGGAACACACACATGCGCACACCAGGCTGGA